AGCGTTCCAAGTTCCTGCAGATAAAAAGTCCAATCGGTATTTCCAAACAAAAGAGATTGCAGAACTTTTTATATTTTTTTTCTAAGAATCGGACGCAACAGACGCAACGACAAAAAATCAGGATACCGGCGATCGAAATCGGGAAAATCGGGATGTTTGAGATTTGGGGCAAAAAATCGGGATATCCCGATTAAATCGGGATGAGTGGCAGGTCTGAAATTTGTTTAAATACAATAGTTTGTCATGATATCGAAGTAAAGTGTGTAGCTATTTGCAATAAAAGCCTTTGAACCTTGACCCTTGACCAGACCCGCTTACTTTCAGAATGGTAAATTTCAGAGGAAAGAGAGTCTTGGCACTAGCTATAAACAACACGACATCGGTATAGTGAGGATGTAACACATCAACACTAGTTCCTACGTTAGGAAAACACGTATTTTGTCTTCCACTATGTTACTGCGGTCACTGTACTTGCATATATACAGTGTTTTGTCCCTTTTGTTCAACTGATATCTGTGAAAAGGCTGTTTTTCTCAGTTCGGAGTTTTCGTACCTTGTGTGACTAAAAACGGTCTATCTCGGTAACTATGATACAACAAATTCCAATAAAAAGGAGAATGCTCATGGAAAGCTGTAGATTAATATTTTGTAATAATCTCAGATTTTATGTATTGACCCATGTGAACGGTTTTTGCAGCTCGCCACACAAATTTTTAAAATGGGAGTGCTTATTTAGGCCACATATGTCGCGATGGCCCGAACTTCCATAAAGTGCTGATCGCGACCGCCGGTCGTGATAGACATAGGCATAGTATAACGCGATATATGAAAAGAACGAAGTACTAATTTTTATACTGCTGGCTGGTAGGCTACGCAGAACTGATTTCGCCCGCCACTTTTCTAGTCATGGGTTTCGATCGAGACGGGGGGAGTTTTTTGTTTCAGGTTGAAGTCGAGTGATAGTGAAGTCTGAAAATTCGCGATTGCGAACCGCGACAAACATGAAAATAGTGTCGCATCAGATTCAGATTCAGATGTTTCGCGAATTTTCCTTGAATCGGAAGATGATTTCGAGGGTTTTGATGCTAGAGCTAACACTTTGTGGAATATAACGTAGGCCTACGAAGCATCTAGACTCGGGTCTAGATTTAGAGATCTAATGAACCGGCAGTTTTTATTCAGTCATTTCCAACACTACTACAACAATAACTTAACAAAATACTTTTTGCTTCACATATTCATAAAGAACTTTCAATATTCTAACACTTTTATTCTTACCTTCATTAGAAATTCTGACAAATAAAAAAGTTATTAGCCCCCCAAAAAGCGTATGTGCAAATCTAGCGTTTTTCCAAAATAAATTCAGCACAGAGGGAAAATATAAGGGGAAAGAAGTCAGCGCTCTAAGGGTTAATGATCTAGAACATATTTCAGGGTCACAGAACTCCACAATAATGAAATGAAGGTAAGCAGAAACAGTGTCAGGACAGGACAGTTATGAGGAAAAAAGCATGGACATACGTGCTGTACTGTTGCGGCATAGCTGAATAGCCCTGGACTTCAGTGGACGGTGTGCTCTGGTTGCTGCTGCCAGGGGAGGACACCTTGCCCATCTTGTAGCACAGACACATGTTGTTCAGCTCTCTGTCACCACAGACACAAACAGTTTTCTTTTAGTAGACTTTTTACGGCGCTCGCTACTGTATAAAGTCATATGAGCGCCAAGGGGTGGATATCTACAGAGAAGTCTTTACAGGGAATCAGGTTTACTCGGCTCACCTCTCCAGTTCCAATAGCACAAACTTTGACTATAAAGGCACTCTGGAAATAGAGGGTCCCAAGAGAGTGACAAACATACAAAAGAAGTAGAGGAAAATGACGATAGTAAGGATTAGGAAAGACAAAGCAGCAGTTCCCTGTTGCAGTTCAGGCACAGTTATGAGCATGACATTGATGAATCAGCCAATTTACAATTCTACTGTGCATAAGAACAGGTTAATGTCCCACCTTTGGGAATGGCCTAAAGACACTTCAGTCAGTAGCATGCCCAAGGGGGGGAGGAAGGGGGGGGGGATACAGCAACACTCAGTAACCATTTATATATAGCAAATTAAAATACAGTCAAAACTATCAACAGTCCCAACCCATTGCTGAGGAGAAATGGGGTTGGCTAGGGCAGGTGGACGTCTCACACAGTGTCATAAAGGTAAAAAAAATACACAAGGGAGGAAATGAGAAGCATCGTTTGTACCAGTGACTGTCTTATATGGGCGACCACTAGAGCAGGTTTGACTGTATGAAGCAACTATACACTACACAGAAAAAGATGCTCACCCAACAAGGGTATAGCCAATGGGAGCTCGTCGCTGGGTGCGGGACAGAAGGATGAGCTCGGTGATGGCATCGCTGGTCATAGTGGGGATCATCCAGCGCAGACACAAACACTTCTTCTTCGTGGCCTTCTCTCCTGGACATTGCACAAAGAATACAGAATCAGCGACAAATAGTTTCCGCTTGAGAGAGAGAGAGAGAGAGAGAGAGAGAGATGACAGAGAGGGAGAGAAGAAAGAGAGAGAGAGAGAGAGATGACAGAGAGGGAGAGAAGAAAGAGAGAGAGAGAGAGAGAAGAAAGAGAGAGAGAGAGAGAGAGAGAGAGAGAGAGAGAGAGAGTGAGAGAGAGAAAGAGAGAGAAAGAGATGACAGAGAAGGAGAGACGAAAGAGAGAGAGAGAGAGAGAGAGAGAGAGAGAGAGAGAGAGAGAGAGAGAGAGAGAGAGAGAGAGAGAGAGAGATTCCCTGACATCCCAAGTCTCTGCGATTATTCATACACCCTAGACCAGAGCCTAACAATTCTTGTGCCTGGTTTTCAGTTACTCTCTAGTAACACTTCTAATCTTCTGCACTTAAATGACCACATTGTGTTGCAATTGCAGTAGATCTCTTACTAAAACTAAAGTTAAAAAGACAGATTTAGCAAATGCAAAAGAATACCCGGTAGTAGTCAGGTCACAGCCAGAAAAATACTGCTGACAGAACGCTTTGCTACTGCATTAGTTATTAGTTTTTGTCGTTGCAATAATTTACTCAATATAAAAGAAATCTCATTTATCTTCTTCTTCAAGCACATACGAGAGTCATGCGTGTACTCCACAACGGTAAACCCAGGAGGAATTGGGTCTTTCTCATTGATCAAAGTTGCATCCACTAAGACATCCTTGGTCTGAAACAGAACAAATCAAACATATTTTCTAAATTGAAGAAAACAGCCAAACAAGACAAAATGTGGGTCATTTCGAAGGCAGAGGACCTCATCCCTAATCAGGACACTAGGAATGAGAGGGGAAAAAAATGTTTAAATCAAAGGAAAGTTGGAAAAATTAAAATTCGGATCTTATTCAGAACGTACAAAGAACATCAAGATGGAGATGAACTGAGAAAGAGCAGACGGTCAAACTAATGTATAGAATTTTGTCAGCAATAAAATGAGCTTTTGGTCTGTTGATGCTGTAAATGATTACCCCCCCCCCCCCCCCCCCCCCCCCCCCCCCCCCCCCCCCCCCCCCCCCCCACACACAAACCCGCCCCCCCCCCCACACACACACAATACGCCTAACAACAACAATTTTAAAAATCACAACCACATTTATCCTGACATGGAATTAATTGTTGTTTTAATTCAGAAATAAAAAGAAAGCTTCAGTTGCTTTTTAACAAAAGTTGTAAGTTTTCCTCAGAAAACTATTGATTCAAATGCAGACTTTGTGGCGCAGGTGGCCCAGTGACTAGTGACCTCAGGCTCATGCATAATGTAAGTAAAGTGATATCTGTGACATAGCCTAAAGATGGCTTCTCACAACAGAGTGTCCTTGAGGAAGATGCATTAGCTCTTGCTAGAAAATAAAACATGCCTAAAAACAAAGGTGCAACACTGCCATTGTAGGTTCAGTCACTGCTTTAATGTAATTAATTTGGATGTATACAGGTCACTGAAAAACGTACATATATATATATCTCTGAAATGGGATAAATGGCATTGCATTCCTTTTGGTTTGTCTCGCGATATTAATTAAAAACACCATTTGCTGAAAATTATGATATAATACTAATAAAAAATCACAAGTCAAAACAAATAAAATTTCTAGAAGGTACTTTCAATCGAGAGAAAAAGAGAGGAAAGGAAGGAGGGAGGGAGGGAGAAAGAAATAGAGAGTGGCTGACAGGGAGGGAGGGAGAGAGGTGGAGAGGGAAAGGGAGAGAGACACAGAGACAGAAAGAGAAAGAGAGGAGGGAATCAGCATTCTCAGTTGTAGTCCATCATGTTCGTACCTGGGTCGGTACTTGCCGTTCCACACACAAGTACCTCATCACCCGACGAGTGAAGAGGCCATCTTTCCAGAGGTCAGCATCCTCAGGGCGATCATAAGTTTTGTCAATCTATTTAAAGGAAAAAAAATAATTTAAAAATCCAGAAACATTTTCGTGGATTAAAATTGTGTGCCACTACTATAACAAAATAAATTTTACAGCTTTGATGATTTTTGTCAACTCAGTGAGGATATTTCAGTCCCTCCATTCGCAGAAACAATGCCTTGACATATAACAGTGACAAAAGTAAGCGGAATCCATGACCATGAATGATATACCTAAACAGAGGGATGGCAACTGTGAAATTATAAGGTAAAAGCGGGAACTGTCATAATAAAGTAACAAAATACAAGAAGATATCAGTTGATAAGAAATGATGTATGATTATGATCATTTACGATCAATGAATGCCTGCTAGAACAGAGAGAGAGAGAGTAACAAACGACAAAAAAAAAAAAGATTTCCACTGCTTTCTATTTCATACCCTAGAAGATTATTCCCAGTCAGAGTTAGTTTAAGACTCCAGTGACTTGGCTCTCTATCGTGGAAACCCATCCCCCTTGAACTACGGATCAACATAGTAAGTAAGATTGATCAATACACTAAGACCAGGCTTACCACTGTGTAGTGTGGTGGACATTTCCCCGGGTCGCTCACAACGCACACACCTGTGATGGGGAGGTCTTGGCCTGCCTCCATATGAGATCTCCTGTCCTAAAAAAATTGAATAGAAAAACCCCCCAGTTATGATCATAATCATAAAAAAAACAGTTCAGCAAATTAAAGGGAGAACCCAGACCTGTTAACCACAACATGTCGTGACCAAAAATCCCCTCAAAAAAACAAAATTTATGCAAAAAAACAGAGCTTTCAGGAACCCATTAGATTATCAAATGATACACCAAAAGTAGCAAATAAATGTATCATAAAATAAATGCAAATACAAAACTGTGTATTTTCATGAGTTGTGTAAATATAAATATTGCGAAAACGCTAACAAACGAAACATGTTATTTTCCATGTCATTAACAATAAAAGTTGTGTACGATTGACAGAATTCAAGAAAAAATCAATCCGATAGTATAGGTTCTTTAACAGGCAAAAAACTCCCCCCAAAAAAGCATTTTAAAACCTAAGGGCTCAGATTTAATCCAAGTACTTGGCAGGTTTGAGGGCCTTCCAAATTCTTTGAATTACCTATTGTGCAACATTTCCAAGAAAATCAAAATACAATACAAACAGACACTTCAGCCAGATAGGCCTATGTCTTCCTGGTAAAATTAACAACACACAAACTGTCATTTCAACCTCAGAGAAATATAATTTAGAACATGACCGTAGAACAAACCTCAAGCCGAAAAGTATCAATCATTCATATTTAAAAGGCAACAAAGGGGTTAACGTCAATGCCACACTCGATGAGCTGACCTGAGTCTAGCATATATAGACATGAAACCTGTCAAGCAGGCAAGGACCAGAGGACAGGTTTTGAGGCTGCTGGTATACTCTTTTACACTTACAGGGCTGTCCTGATACCTGCCATAATTTCTATGATCATATAAATTTAAAAATACCACAGATGATGATTGCGGGTGTACAGGAATACTAAGTTCTAAAAAAATTCGTCAAAACAATATTTAAAAAAGAAATAATCAGGAAAAAATGCAACTATGTTAAGAAAAAAACACTGGTTCTAACAAGCCTGTTTCCAATGGGTACAGTAGGCTATTATTAAGTATAGTATGGCCAAGAAGTCATTTCTCCCTCTATAGTTGTGAATATTGGTTTGTATTATAATATTATAATACTCATCTCTTCCATCAAGTCAAATAAAACAAAATAAGTTGGGATCGCTTCACCAGTCAAGTTTGAGGGTACTTTTAAAGTTTTCTTTGGTTTGTCCAAGTTTCATCATGTTTTGAAATATTTATATATATTATGTATTAATAGATTGCTAAAGCCAAGAGATTGATTTTGTAAAAGTAAAGACTCTAGAGAAAAAAGCTGGACTTCAGGTCTATCCTATTATAACAAGATGTTGACCAGCATACATACATCGTTTTATGTAATAAAGCACTTGCAGTCCACAAGCTTTTGCAAATACAGTTAAACCTGTGTAAGATGACCACCCTTTGTCAAGGAGAAAAGTGGCCGTACAAGACAGGCGGTCGTCTTAGGGAGGACTGATCAAGATGAAGAAAACAAGCCATTCCTTTCTGAGGTCCCAACCAAAGGTAGTCGCATTGTTGTTGTTAGGGGGTTTTTTTTGGTTTTCTTTTGTTGCTGCTTTTGTGCAAGGGAGACAATAAAATGAAACGTGTCAGACAAGGAGGATCGCATGCTATGGTAAAACAAATACATGCGTCGCCACCACTCGGAGAACAAGCGACGCTTCTGTCACAAGTTCATGTTGACATCCATTCTTACTTTGACCTTAGTACAGACTGGGTAAACAGTGACCACTCATCTCACTTACGATTTGTGTAGGCCTATGAGTTCTGGGCGAGGCTTATCTTATATATATGGGTTATGAGGGATCACATGCTACCTCACCAGCAGTTGAAAATTTGTCACCTATTCATTCATGGTCAACAGCGGGAGGGGCCTACGCAACATGATTGGTCGGAGGGACTACCTAACAACAAACAGGTGAATGGATTATGACGGCTCACCCAAAACGCCAGGGGGGGCCAATGCACAATTTAGGAAAAAACATAATGGAGTCACTAGGGTGGCTGTCTAAGACAGGTGTTATTGCTTGGTGTTACAGGGGTCGTGAGTTCAAATATACGGAGGCAGTGGCCGCATTGGACAGAATAGGCCTAATGATTACGGATTAGGGTAGATTCGCAAGATTATTAAAGTTATCACTAGATTCTATCTATAACTTTTAGGCCGGCGCTATTTCTCCGAATGTTCGGGAAAATAAAGCTGGGCACTATTTCTCCGAACACTTTGAAATCACATCCTTTCCGGCAAATTTAGGATATTATATAGATCTATAATTATAGTATTAATAGTATAGGCCTACCAAAGATTGTTCGACAATATGGTTCAATCGGTCCAAAAAATGTCCGTAGTAAATATTTATAAAGAAATGCTACTGTTCCAAACAGTTTTTTGCTACAGATATGACGTGTTGCCTATGAAGGGTGCTGCTCTTAAACTTAATGTGTTGTGTTCACTCGTGTGCTGTCTAGATCTAGATCTACGGAGGGTTATTGATAATGACACATGTATAGAACTAGCATCTGCGTTTGTCTCGGCCGCGACAAATCAATCGTGGCTCGATTTTTTGTCATTTTTTGGTCCCCGAATCGGCGAATAAAAGTCAAATAAAAAAAGAAAAAGAAAAAAAGAAAAAACCGAACCTCTTTACTTTTGACAGAAAGTTCACCTAGCTTCACTTCGTCTCTTTCTTACTTGTTGTCACCATGTTGATTTGTTGAATACGTTACAGTTACTTTTATTTTTCCCTCTTTGTGGTGTTTTATTCTGTTAGTGTGTATTTTTTTCTTTCTTGTTATTGTTCTGATGTGATGTTTTTCTATCAATTTTTTTTTGTTGGGGAAAAAAAGGGGGGGGGGGGGGATGTTGTATAGTGTAACGTCATTTAATTTGATGTTCCTACCTTCAGTAGATTCTAAATACATGTGTTGTATATATAGATTTAAATGTGTTATGTTAGAGCGTACGTTCCATCAAAACCGATTACATTATGTAGGCCTACTGACACTGGCAGGCCACTTAATGTTTGTGATTCCATAATTTACATATGTAATATTCTGTAGGCTACTTTGTTTTAAAATAAAAATTACGCACACTTTTGTGGCTGTTTATGGGCTGTTCTAATTTTGATTTCATTCGGTTGAGAAACCTTTCTTTTTCACGTTTTTTACACTCATCTAAAAATCTTTAGACTAGCTCTTGAAAATTGAAATAGATATCGGCCTAAAAATTTGCTCCTGTGTGTGTGTGTGTGTGTGTGTATGCATATGCGTGTGTGAGTGTGTCTGTGTGTGGTAGTAAGTGTGTAAGTGGAGAGTGAGGTCAGAGGAGCGTGAGTGTGTACGTTTTTTGGGCTTTAATTCAGCCTTTATTCAGTAACAGTTCAAAGTATACAAAAATAGAAACACAGGATCTATTCACCCGAGGGCTCATGAGTCGTTCCTCTCTTTCCGTTTCACTCATTCCTTCAATTCCCGTGTTCTCTCCCGCGGCTCATCCCCGTCCGCATGACTTTCACACCCCACCTCCTCCCTCCAGGCACACACAAAGAAAATCTCACTCATTCCCTTGCACCCTGCAAAACCATGGACAATAATATTAGCAAAACGCTGCCTTAGCCACATTCCTTTCGTTCGTGAGCTGTGGACCAGGCCAGGTGAGTCGGTGTCGTCGCCTTGTAGTTGCTGTAGCCTGTGGATACACTCGTACATTCTTCCTTTCACCTGCTCTGTCACTCACACTGTCTCTCCATCCACAGCTCAGCTCGTCATACGTTCAAAAGTTGCCCACTGATCATGTTTAGTTAGTGTGTGTATAAGTTTGTGTGTGTACATGTGCATGATGGTGGTGGGTGTGTGGTGGGTTGTCTGTAGGCGGGCTTGCCATGCAGTGTTCTTTCCCAGACCAGAGGCAGAATGAAAGTTGGCGCCGAGCTCTCGCAATAAATAGGCAAGAAATCATGACATCGGAAGCCGGAAACCGTTCGGAGAAATAAAGATCGGCACTATTTCTCCGAACGTTCGGAGAAATCTAATGGCCGTCATTATTCGGACTCGAGTCCTAGACTCTCAGTCTAGCCGTACTTAAGTACGGCTAGCCACTTCGTATTGTAATAATGATCAGTTGCCGGGGGGGGGAACTGACGCGTATGCGACGTTCAACGCCCGGACCGATAGCGCCCCCCCCCCTCCCCGACACACACACACAGCCACATGTGTGCAGGCCGCCCATCCGACCCAGACACACGCTAACGAGCCATCTTTAATTGCTTTTGATGACCTCTTGACAAATAAACATTGGCGCTTTTTCGGCAGTTCCCACCCCGCAATTGTTATTCACGGGTTTTGGCCCCAACTGATCTAACAAAATAGGAAGGGGGGTTTCAGGGGGGCATGCCCCCCTGAATTTTACCACAATTTAATGTTTTGCTGTTGTTAGGTTTGAAAAAGCTCACCGCGAATCAAACGTATAGATCTAGATCTAGAAGTAAGTCAGGCTCAAATAAGGGGGGTGGGAACTACCGAAAAAGCACCTCTAAACATTTATTAGAAGCGCTTTAACTTTTCAGGCCGGCCTCAAATTCATCATAAGAGATAAAAACTCGACTCCGGCACAATTTAACCCTCTAGTGCCCACAGTGCCATATCTGGCACATGTCAAATAACCAGCTTCAGGGGAAACAGTAATTAATTTTTGTTATGTTCGGTAATTTCATGAGGTAGGTAACTGGAGAATCATCATCTGAGTGCCCTTGGGTGATTTTTTTCTGCAATAATTTCCCCTTACAACTCCCTGTTTTTTACCACCACTTGTGCTTGAAACAGAACAACCGCACCCACTCTTCTTCAGTCTATCACCATCAACCGTTAGGTACATAATTTTGTCAATTTTTCCTAATGTTTTGAAACAAAGTAGATTTAGATATTATCACCTTCAAATTCCATGTTCAACATCTACATTTTGATTTATGGGGATGTTTTTAGGTATGGTCTAAATATGGCACACTGGGCAGCCCTGGACGTTTTTTTGTGCCAGATGTGGAACATTGGGCATTTGAGTCCTGATTTTTATCACATAGCCCTGTTTCAATGTAAAATGTCAAAAAGTTCAAGTTGACTGGAAAAATAAAAAAGCAGAAATTGACTTCATTTCAGTGTAAATACATGTATACAGTAAACAGCCTTTAGACTGTATGTAAGGGTTCATAAAGTTATTTTTCTCTATACTTGACAAGTGTATTTGTACAAACTGTGAAACACACACTACCGGTACTTAATTTTTTTCTTGAAACGATTGCATTTTGTCAGCAATGAGACTCATGATGACAGCACAAGCAATGATCGTGTATGGAAACTCTGTCCGTGGATCAATGATCTAAAATCCAATTTCAAAAAGATTATTCCGTGTAAGCATCAGTTTGTTCATGAAATTATGGTATCTTTCAAAGGTCGGTGTAGTCTGAAACAATGCATTCGGAAAATACCCCACAAATGAGGTTTCAAGTTGTGGGCTTATTGCGGAAGTGAACGCACTCTGCAAGACTTTGACGTATATCAAGGTTCAAATGGAGTTCATACTCGTAGATCTGAACTAGGCATGGGAGGGGATGTTGTCATGGACATGGTGAAGAACTTGGAGGATGGAAAGAATTACAAAATGTTTGCCGACAACCACTTTTCGAGGGTAAACATGGTGAAACAGTTGAAGGAAAAAGGACTGCAATAAGTGGGAACCGTCATGAAAACCTCTTGAAAGGTTGAATGCAGAGAGTCTAGTGGATGCTGACTCCAATATCGTCGTCGTTCGATGGTACGACAACAAGAAAGTGGATGTCATTTCGTCATATGTTGGACCAGAATCTGTTGAGAATGTTACCGGGTGGGAAAAAAGACTGAAGGAAAAAACTGCAGTGAATTGCTCTGCTGTAATTCGCACGTACAACAAACACGTGGGAGGGGTAGATTTACTTGATTGTCTCACCGCTCTCTGCAAAGCAAAAGTCAAGACTCGAAATTGGTACATTTATTTGTTCTACGACACAATCAACATGGTGGTAGTCACCAGTTGGCTGAGATATCGTGGTCACTGCAGGATGCTTCAGCAGTCCCCAGTCAAGTTATGTGACTTCCATCAGTCGATTGCTGACAGTCAGGTTACCGTCGAAAGGTTGCCAGGACGATCTGTAGCTGGGAGTCCTCAGTTTCTCTCACACTCTAGCACTCAAGAGAAGTCCCCAACTGTTGACTCACAGCTCCATCGCATGGATCGTCTTCCTCTCCATGCCGACCGGCAATGTTGCAAACGCCCCAGATGTGACTCAAAGACCTACATCATGTGTAAGGAAGTGTATGGTTCATCTCTGTCTGAACAAGGAGCGAAACTGTTTTGAAGAATTCCACCCAAGAAAAACATGCTAAATTTGTTAAACGCTACCCAGTGTGACATATCTGGCACGCCCAATGTGCCATATATGGCACGGTCTGTAACTTTTTTAATACAAGTTTTAGATGAAAGAAACTTTCAAATTTGGTTATTGTACTTCTTTTTGAACATGTTCTGTGAAAATGAAATTTTTTTGTCAATGATTTCTATACCTGGGCACTAGAGGGTTAACGCCATTTTGCCCGAAGTGATCCCGGACCCAGCCTGAGGCGAGTCACGAGTGAGGCAGGACAGGAAGCCGGAGTCACGAGTCACAGGAAGTCTGAAGTGATGTCATGCTGGACAAGAATCAGAGTCCGAATAACATTTTTTCATATTCGGACTCGAGTCCGAATAGATAGATCTAGATCTAGATTCTAGAATCTAGATCTAGAAAATCTAGATCTAGATCTAGAAAATCTAGATCTAGATCTAGTAGATCTAGATCTAGATCTAGATCTAGTAGATCTAGATCTAGATCTAGATCTTTCTAGTTAGTCACTTCGAAATCTAATAGCCACTTCGTGACTTTTAAGTAGTCCTACTAACTTAGATCTGATCTATACGACAAAAGTAAAAGAACACCTCACTCACCAATGACTCAAATTACAGAGCACAGCCTCCTCAGAAGAAAGAAAGTCCAGAAATGGAATTTCAGTCCGAGTCACTTGGTTGGACTTATTGGACTTGATGAATTTGGACAACACCTTCACCACACTAAACTAAATGTGATTTCTTTACAATTGAAAAGTCAATTCAAAGAGGAACAGAGTTGTATGAAATTATTTTCATCAGCAGAACGATTCTACAATTCATAGATTCTAGCTTTCCAGCGTCATAGTCATCGACTTCCTCTTCTATTGAAATACACTGACAACATTAAATGACAATTATGTTGACAATAAATAGGCCTAGATCAGAGGGCCAGCAGTAAACCGGAAGTAAATAAAAGTTGCACTTTTTAATTTTCAGTTTGTTTATTAAAAATGGTCTGTGTGAAGTTCAAAGAGGTTATAAATGGAACTATTATAATAGATCTAACCTTTTTGGTTAGTTCTGAGCTCCTTGGGTGAAGTTCAAAGAGGTTATAACAAATAGTATGATTATAACAACTTCTTTGGAGAGTTGGTGATCCCCTTCCCCACAAAAAAGAACTGCGGGTCAAAACAATTATGAGGCAAAACGCATTGGTGGGATGACATAGCTGAAGAAATGTTTCCACAACGAGGCCTTTCCACAAACATAGACATAGCAAAGACAAAGGCTGTTTTTCATCGACTTGTATGCCACACCACGGACATTCCTCAGTTAAAATTTCTGATGCACCGCATAAACGGACGCGCAGTCTCGAACTGTGCTCACTTTGGTGGCAATATAAACCGCCGTTTGCGCAAAATCCAGCATCGCATCAACATGACACCAGACCAAAACTGGGAGACTTTGATCGTGCCAGAGCTATGGCATGGCTGCAGCTTGGAGTTGAAGCCCTAAAAGTTGCCAGAAGGCTTGCAGTGTCACACTCTGTCATTGTCCGCCTGAGGCAGTGCCATCAAGCCACTGGATCAGTCCAAGAACGCCCTCATGCAGGTCAACCCAAGAAGACCACAATTGAGTGTTTGCAATTAGTGGTCCTTAACTTATGTTGAAGTCTGTAAGTCAAAAAGCTATGAGCTCAACGGAGACCTGGGCATATAATGTTCGTGGATCAAGAGATGGCATTTGACCGAGTTGATAGGTGCATGTTGGGGCAGGATTTGGAGGGCTGGGGAGTGAAGGACCCACATTTCACTGCGCATTCAGACTAAAGATCCGCGTCTGTCCGCGCGTCCTTCTGCACAGACGGGCCAATTTAACATTATTATATTTCAAGAGGAAGACAAAGGAAGATCGAGGGTGTGAAGACCCACAACACCCCACCCAATCTGCAGAAAAATTGGAACACGTGTACTTAAGGCAAACGCGGCCACTTACCAACCAGCACCCTCCTCTCCCATCAAAAATCAACATGGAGACAAAGTAAAATCTCATTAGATCAATATACGTTACATGAACTATCTGCTAGCATTACAAAGCTCAACGTTTCGCCCCTTGAGCTTCCCCAGGAGCAACTAAAAGAAAAACTAAATGGGCACTGTATAATAATAGCAGGGAAATGGGCCTCACAAAGAGTGTCTTAAGATGACATCATCATCATCATCATCATCATCATCATCATCATCATCATCATCATCATCATCATCATCATCACCACAGACTAAACAATTCCCCCCTTTTTAAACAACTGTTTTGCTTTTCTTGAAGCATAACTGTTTGCCCCATGTCAACACAATTTTACGTAATCCACAATTATCGGCACCAAAATCAAGAGATGGGACAGACAAAAAACCCAAACCAAAACCAAACACGCAAACAAGGGAATACAAATCAAATTTGGACACGTTGTGAGAACAAAGTCACAATAGCCCGCCACAAAGACACGACAACATGAGATTTGATTGTTTCAAAGTCAAAGCAAGAGGAACACAATTAAGTAGAAAGATATGGGTCGACAGGGTCTTATGATATCCTCCAAAGGAACAACACGACAACCCAAAAGGCAACACACCTGGCTCACGTCCGACAATAGCATAATGTCGTCGGCAAACTGTTCAGATGTCCTAAACCCAGAAAGTAAATTTTTTCAGGAGAGAGAGAGAGAGAGAGAGAGAGAGAGAGAGAGAGAGAGAGAGAGAGAGAGAGAACAACAAAAACATAACAAAACTTTTTCTTTCTCTCAACGATTGTAAAAAAACAACAAAAAACAAACAAATCATCATCATCATCATCATCATCATCATCATCATCAT